AGGGGGCGTCTAGCCAGGGGTATCCTTGGCAGTTGGGCCTGGTATTATTCAGCGAAAGCTTGCCGGATTGCCAAACTTGGCTTCATTGGCAGATTGAGGGGCGTCATATTGCGGAGCTTCTATTTTCTCGGCTGTCCGCTGCCTTGGGGGCGGGAGTTCAAGCGGTCCATCGCCGGCGTGTCTCGGTCATCTGTCGGGGGGGCTCCGCGGGGTCATTCGGCCCAGAGTTCGCGTGCACTTCAGTCTTACGGCGCCCAGCGGTTGCTAGTCAGCCGGGCCCCCTTGCGCGGCCAAGCGTTCGCCCGCCAAGGAACCGCGCCTCGGTGGTGAGCGCTTCCGTCTTTCCGGGGACAGCCTCGGCATGCATTGGGATCACTACTCTAGAATCTCCGCGGGTTTGAAATCCTTGGGAATCGACCCCCAGGGATTTCAACCCTTCGGCGGCTCGATTAAGGCGCCGAATAGTGCGCCGAACTGAGCGCCGAATAGAGCGCCCAATACTGCGCCCAATAGAGCGCCGAATACAGCGTCGAACAGAGCGCCAAATAAAGCGCCGAACAGAGCGCCGAATAGAGCGCCGAACAGAGCGCCGAATAGAGCCGCGGCGGGTTTGAAATCCCTGGGGATCGATTTCACACTTGCGGCGGCTCTATTTGAGCGCCGAACAGAGCGCCGAACAGAGCGCCGAATAGAGCCGCCGCAGGTTTGAAATCCCTGGGACGGATTCCCAAAGATTTCAAACCTGCGGCGGTTCTATTATGGCGCCGAATGCAGCGCCTAGTAAAGCGCCGAACAGCGCCAAACTTAGCATTTAATAGAGCGCCGAATAAAGCAGCCGCAGGTTTGAAATCCTTGGGAAGCGATTCCACGGCATTTCAAACCTGGGGCGGCTCGATCAAGGCGCCGAATAGGGCGCCGATCTGAGCGCCCAATAGTGCGCCTAATAGAGCGCCGAATACAGCGTCGAACAGAGCGCCGAATAAAATGGCGAACGTAGCGCCGAATAGAGCTACCAATCATGCGCCCAAATGAGCGCCGAATAGAGCGCTCCATGAAAGCTCCTAGTAGAGCGCCCAATAGAGCTACCAATCATGCGCCCAATGGGGCTACTAATCATGCGCCAATCGAGAGCCGAATAGAGGGCATGGACCCGCTCCAGGATCGAGGAACCAACCGCGTCTTGATCGAGTGCACCCCTGGATCTTGAATCGGCCCTGCGCTCGATCCTGAATCGGTCCGCGGTAGATCCTGACTGGGCCCCAACCTGGCCCCGCATCTCCCGCGGCGAATTCGCGCGACGGAGCGAGGCAGGACAGCGCGCAGACTGAATAGTCGGCCCTGTGTCCCGCGCGGGAATAACCCCCGCCCCCCACACCAACAATCTTAGCTTGGCAAAGGACCAAACTATGTGTAGTTGTGAGTACCGCACTTGTGAATATCTTCTTCGGTGGCGCTCCCTATGGGGCCACGAACCGCATGAGGGGCGCGCCGAATTGCGTGGCGGGGTACACAACGCAAACGAAGACGATAGGTCTAATTACGAGAGACCGAGCGCGGGTGAGTCTGAGCGCGACTTAGTTTGGGTGTGAATGCGTCTGGATGCGGGTGAGTATATTTGCATGAATGCGAGCATGGCCACGCCTGGTGTGTATATATGTTTATGTATACACACGTATATATATACATATAAATGTATACGAATGTGAATGGTTCACACATGCCTGACACTGAGTACTCGTGACTACTCGTGACACTGAGCGTGGCCGCCGCAGGAAGCTTCCCCTGGTACCCCGACAGCAGCGCCCGCACGCCGCGACGCCCATGTCGGCGCGCTCCTCACGAGGATCGCGCCCGCTTCCTTCCCGTTCTTTTCTCCCTCTTTGCCCGCGCGCAACCATGTCCAAGGCTGCGGGCGCGGCGCCGCACGGAGCCCCCGCGACGCGCGTTGGTCGCCCCGGAGGGGCCCCGGCGACGCGCGCGGGTCGTCCGCTGCGCGGAGCAGAGTGAGCTAGCTGGCTGGCTGATAGCGGGCAAGGCCGCTGGGCAGAGCGACGTCGGGGGCGAGCGAGGCTCTGGGCAGAGCGCAGCGCGAAATTCCCGCGACGCGCGCCGGTCGCCCCGAGAGTGTCGCAGCGACGCGCGCGGGTCGCCCGCGGCGCGAGGCCAAACAGTGAGACCGTCGAGAGACGGCGAGGCTCGGGCGGGCCGCTCGTCAGGTAACGCTTCGCGGATCAGCTCGGTGAAGCTCAGCTCCCTGGCGAGGGTCGCCGCCCCCCTCCTGCGCGGCTTCGTGCGCGTGGTAGACTGCCCCAGCTGTTTCCGCAAGCCCTCCGGCGGCCCTGCCAGGAAGAACTCGATGCGCGGCGCCCGCATGGGCAGGAGGTCCTCGTGGCGCGCGGCGCGCGAGAGCAGCGCGTAGAGCTCCAGCCACCAGTCGTCGTCCTCCTTCTTGCAGTTCCCCACCTCGTGGCGGCCGAAGTCCAGGATCACGCCTGGGCGACGTCGGCCGACGGGGGCAGCGCGCAGGACAGCCGACGGCTCAGGGCGAGACTCCACGGGACTGAAGGAAGGTCTGGCTGCGGACCGCTCAGGCCCTAGACTGCCCGGGGGGCGCCATTCCCTCGCCCCGTCGCCTTCGCGCGCGGTGCACCCCTGGCACGCCGCCGCGGCGATGGTCCTGCCGCGCGAGAGCGGGGGGCCCGTTCGGGCGACCTCGGAGGTGCGGAACGTGAGCGGTTCCGACATGCGAGGCCCGATAAACACCGTATTTTGCATGCGCCCCCGCCACCCATTTTGATGCACCCCTTGCACGTTTCGCGCCCTCCATAGGAGTTCAACCGAAGGTCCCAGAGGCGCAGTCCGCATGCGGCCGCATGCGCCCCCGCCACCCATGTCGGCACACCCCTCACGCGTTGTGTGGCCCCATCGGATTTCCACCAAAGGTCCCAGTGGCGCAGCCCGCATGTGTCTCCGCTTCTGATTCCGGCACGCCCGTCACACGTTTCGTTGCCCTTGGGAGTTCCGCCGAAGGTTTCAATTGCGCGGCACGCGTGCGCCCCCACCACCCATCTTGACACACCCCTAACACGTTTCGTGGCCCCGTAGGAGCACGTCCAAGGTCCTAGTTGCGCAGCCCGCATTCGTCCGCGCCACCCATTTTGATACACCCCTCGCACGTTTCGCGTCCCCCATTGGGGTTTAACCGAAGGTCCCGGTGTCGCACTCCGCATGCGTCCCCAGCACCCATTTTGAGACACGCCTCGCACGTTTCGCGTCCCCCACAGGAGTTCCACCGAAGGTTCCGTTGGCGCAGCCCGCACGCGTCCTGACATCGATTTCGGCACACCTTTCACACGTTTCATGTCCCCATCGGGAGCTCCACCGAACGCCCAAGTGGCGCACTCCCACCACCCATTTCGGCAAACGTCTCACGCGCTTCGTGGCACCATAGGGAGCTCTACCGAAGGCCTTGGTTGCGGTGCCCACATGCGTTCCCGCCACCCATTTCGGCGCACCCCGCACACGTTTCGTGGCCCCATAGGAAGCTCCACCGAAGGCCCCAGTGGCGGTTCCCACATGCGTCCCCGCCGCCCATTTCGGCATGCCCCTCACGCGCTTCGTGGCCCCATAAGGAGCTCCACCGAAAGCTCCAGTGGCGCAGTCAACAGCCGGCCCTGCAACCCAATTCGGCACACTCCTCACACGCTCCGTTTTTCGTGGCCTTATGGGGAACTTCACCGATGTCCCCAGTGGCGCAGCTCACATGCGTCCCCGCCACCCATTCCGGCACACCCATCACACGCCTCGTTCACCGAAGACGGCATTTACAATTGCGTTACTCACACTTGCATATGGTTACGTCTTTCGCCAGGTTTATTAGTTGTTTGCTTGGTCGTTCGGCCGACACGCCTGGCATTGGTGGGCACATGTCCAACAAGTGGATATGTGCTGGGACCGCGGCCGAAACAGCAACAACAGCGGCAACAGCAGTAGCAGGGCTCGTGGATATTCAAGGGTTGACCTGCAGCCAGTCCCACCACCTACGTTTCTGGGGCCGTTGTTGCATGCATGTTTGCCACCTTTTGCGGGCGCGCAGCCACCGTGGATGGGCGGCAGCTTGCTGCTGAGTGTTGTAACCCGTCTTGGAAGGACCGCGAGAGCTTCGCCCGCATCTCGCAAGGTACATGTCCCAGCGATGCAGGCCCTCCTACGACGGGCATGGCTGCTAGGGTTGAGCGAGAAGTTGTGGCTGCTAAAGCTCATGCATCGGCCAGCCGCTGGGTAATCAGGCGAACGCCCACCCCCCTCCCTCCTTCTCTCTTTCTCCTCACGCTGTGCTGCGCAAGTGTTCCGCATGCCCCTCGGCACCATGGTCCTCGGCGTCGCCCTTGGTTGTTCGGGCGCGCTTGCTCCTCGCGGTGCTCGTTGCCTCGGGAAAATAAGGCACACAGTCATGACTTGTCGGAAATCCGTGGTCGATGTCTTGGGTCGGCGCCTCCAGAGCGAACTTGGTGTGCCTGGCTCGCCAAGAGGAGGTGTCCAGCCCAGATCCAAGAATGAAAGCGCGGACCTCCGACAGTTTTTGATATGACTGTTACTGTGCTATGGCCCCTCCTCACTATTCTCTTCTCCGCCTCCTGCCATACAGGGGCACTTTGAACACAGGCGTGCGAGTTCGCACGACTCGTGGTAGCGTACTGGGTCCGCGAGAGTCGGGCCACCTGCTCTGCTTTGTTGACGCTTCTTATCTTCCGCTCCCTGACATCCTGCTCGCTATCATTCTCTTGTTTCCTCCTCCATACCTCAGGGGAGGGCAACCGTTCCCCAGAACAGACGCACCCTGGAAAGGGGTCCTCGGGGCCCACCTCGGGACGCTCAACAGCCAGGTCTTGGCACATGCCGTTGGTAGAATCTGGGCCCTCGCGATTCGCGACGCCTCATCGGGGGCACGTCTCTCTGGGGGTATGTTTGGCCCTTCTCGGGGACCTCCCGCAATCGAGGACGGCCCCCACGTATGGAGTGGCGGCTTCTTTCAGGGCTACGATCTGCTCGTGTGCTTTACCATTCTGCTGGAGGCCGGCGGCGGGCTGCTCGTGGGCCTCGTGATCAAGTACGCGGACGGGGGATGGAGGCAGAAAGAATAGTTAGAAACATATAGACTCAACCAATTGCACATACATGCACGTTTCTGACGGGAGATATGCAAAGGGACGCCAGAGGGAAGCGACAGTTGTACAAGATTCACGTGTGACATCAAATTCTGTTCAGGCTCCTTACGCAGAGGCCTGTATTTCCTATGAAGGGGCCCTCTGGGGCTCTTGAGGCGGGCACGGGCAGGAAAGGAGGGAGAAGCGAGAAGACAGCCCTCGGGAAAAACATACGCACCAGGCTCAGGTCCACGGCCGAAAAGGCCGCTCACCTAAATCTCGATACTTCTCTTCTTCCGATTCCCTTAGGGCCTCAGGACCTCCAGAAATCGATCTCGCACAATCGCGAGTCTTTGATGGAATATCTGGTCACCTGGGTTGCACTCTTCAACGTGCTCTCCTCTGAACTTCTTTCAGGTAGCGGTACCCTGTCCAGACGTCGAAGGATGGACCAGTATGGTGGACGTTGTGCGGCCTGCACACGATGCTGCCCACGTTCAGCTCCGCCGCCCCTCTGTACCGCATGTTGCGAAATGCTAGTTGGCTGATGGGGGACACGCGTTCATGTCCAGCTCGATCTCGGATGCGCTTGTCCATCATCATTTGTGTCTGGGGGTGGTCGAGGGGAACTCCATGCTCCTGTCCGGTCTTGACTCGTTCTCCGCGCTCCTGGACTTCCAAACGAGTTGCCGTGACCCCATCGGCCTTCACCATGTCGGCTACTCATCATCTCCCAGTCATGCTCCCTGAGGTAGCAGTCAAAGGCCAGGAGAGCCGCGTCGGCGGCCACTTGAACAGCCTCGCCGTACGTGGCCTTGCGGTCGATGATCTCCATCAGCAGCGGTACCGCCACTGGCACACCTTGCGTGCCCGTGCAGAGTGCCCCCAAAGCTTTCAAGCCCAGAACTTTTTTTGGAAGTCGCAGCTTGGGGTACATGTCCATCATTTCCACGCTTATCTCGTCGTCCTACCACAGTAGTTCCATGTATAGACTGAGTTCCGTGTCCAGGCTTGGGTTCGGGAAAATGCCGACATCGTCCTCCGCCCAGTCGCAAAGCCTCCAGCAGGCCCTCATGTGCTGGAGGACGGTGGCGTCCATCTGGGCGTGGACCAGCAGCCTGGGCGGGCACTTCCCGCTCAGCAGATCGCTCTTGACGTTCGTGAAGAAGTCGGTTCCGGACGCCTCCCAGGCTCTGTGCCCGCGACGCAGCATCTTCGGCGTGGCGGGCGAAGGAGTCACCCTCCTCGCGCTGGATCCGACGCCCGGAACGTGCGGCAAGAGAGACCCCAGGTAGATGCCCACGGCCACCGCGCATCTGCGACTGGGACGTCCACAGCTCGTCATCGGACCTTGACGGGCGGCGCCGAAACCGACCCAGTTCGACCGACATGGGTCGGTTTAGTCTTCGCCACCAGCGGCCGCTCCCCTTCCCCACTTGGATGCCACTGGGGAGGATGGTCCACGCGCAGCCCAGGCGCCACGACCCAGCCTCTGTCGATGAACACGCCGTGCTCGATGGGTGGTCGCAATCGGGACGCGATCTCTTCGAGGGCCTGGCCTTTGGCGTAGTCTCTGCTCGGACCATCTGCGTGATTCTGCCCGCACGACGCCCATCTAGGATAGATCGGGACACCGCAACCCATGGCGTGCGCGGCCAGACGTCGAAGGACAGCGTTCAGGCTACTGTACTTATCCCTGCCCTTGGAGTCGGCCCATATCGTTGCCATGTCATACATGATCACATGTTGACGTCGGTCCCAGGAGGACGTCCCTCAGCAAGGCCTGCACGTGAGAGCCTGCCGTAGACCACTACCGCTCAGCTGTCGGCTAGATCCGACCCTTGCTGGGAGCCCTGTCTTTTTGCATGCGGCTTTCACACGCCAACAAAAATATCTCGAGGACGTTCTGGTGCTGTGATCTCGTCCACCTGACTTGGAGAAGCTCGCTCCACCTGCCCAGTGCGAAATAGGAGCCAATCTCCTGGGCCCTGATCCTGGCCGAGAGGTCGTCGGCTCGCCGTGGCAAGAGCCGCCAGGCGAAGCGCCACCTCGTCGATCATGGACTGCAGCGCGGCTTCTGCGACCCCGGCTTGATCAGATCGAGCGCCGCGAAGTGTTGCTCCTTTGGCTTCGTGGACAGCTGGCTTGGGTAGTTCTGAGCCAGAAGCGCGGAACATGCCGTTCGGCAGTTTGCCCTGTAGGGGCGGGTGCCCCACGGCATGGTTGCACCGCCTCCCGTCGAGCGCCTCCAACAGACTCGTGATTATGTTGGAGATAATGCTCGGCTTCTTCGCCTTGAGCCCCTCGCGGCACTGGTCGAAGCTGGCCCTCATGACCTTCTGCGCCACGCCCGAGGTGCCTAGCAGGTCGCGGTCGCGCACGTTGGGGCCCCTTGCCTCCTCGATTCTCCTCCAGAAGGCCGTCTTTGCAGCCTCGTAAGCAGGAGTGCCGCGAGTGAAGGCCAGGTTCTCCAGGGCCATGGTGACGGCCAGCACCCATGTGCTCGGGTAGGGTTCCCGCCCAGGGTCCCTCGGGTGCTCTGGGTGCTCCAGGGGGTAGAAGCCCGCGCCAATGACCAGACAGCCCAGGAACTCGTATCTTTGCGATGAGCAGCTCCCAGCCCACCAGCACCTTGGTCTCAGGCGTAGCAGACTGCCCAGGCAGGCCCCGAGGTCTCGTTCGGCTTTTCAGCGACGGCGGGCCCTGGCACCGGTTGTAGCGAGAGCGCGCGAAGGCCTCACAGGGCGGCCCAGGAAGTCCAGTCTGGAACTGCCCCTCCAGCGCGCGGCGACAAAACTTCTGCGCCTTCCGCTGGTCGAGCAATGCATGTTGGTCGTGCAGCACCTTGTCGATCGGCTCCACCAACAACCACCGGTTCTGCTTCTGGACCAACCTAGTCAGATAGTCTTCCATGTCGAGGGGCTTCCAGTTGCTCGCGAATAGGTGCGCCGTGCGGTTCACCTCGTCGCCCTCGCCCAGCGGCCTCATGGTCCTGCGCATCACGGGCCCCTCCTCCGCGACGGCGCCACTGTCGATGTCCTCGCCTTCGAGCTCGTCCTCGCTGTCGTCGGCGCCTAGGCGGTCGGCCTGCTCGACGAGCCACTCTTTCGGGGCGGTCAGGTGGGCCTGTTTCCGGAGCTCCTCGATCGTCGCCGGCGTGACCAGGACACCGTCCCCGACGTAGCTCGCGTCCGTAATGCCAGCCTGCTCCAGCCACGGCCTCCCCAAGTGCGTGAACAGCAGCGGCCTCAAGGGCCACCATCGTCATCAGCTCGCCTTTCAGGCTCGGCCGCATCACGAGATCCTCGTCGTCCTTGTACTTCTAAATGGCCTTGTAGACCGTGTCGAATACCGAGAGGGCTGACCCCTGGACCAGCGAAAACCACGTCCAGGTGGAGACCAGCGTCACAACGTCCCGCACCGTGAGGGCCCTCCGCTTGCACGCTTCCAATGTCGCCTCCACCAGCACGTCCATCTTCTCCAGATCCGGCTCCACGAACACGTCCCCGTGCGCGGTCCCAGAGAGGAGCCAGCCCTATGTCTTGACCTGCTGCCCGAACTCATCCTTGTGTACTGGTAGTCTCGACGAAGAGGGGGAGCCTTGACGTCGTCCCTGGCCTTGGCGATGCCAACGAAGTCGTTGACGGGCACCGGCAAGACCGACACTTTTTTCCTGAAATGCGCAATTTGTTTCGTTCAGTACCGGCTGCGGCCTCGGAGCCGCCGAAACCGACCCAATTTGATTCAGATGGGTCGGTTTAGTTCGCCGCCGGCAGTATGCATGGAAGGGTCTAAGACGTCACTTCCGGCGCCTCGAGAGTCAGGACGCCGTAGTCGTCGATGTACCCCCAGTGCACTGGCTCCGACGGTGGTCGTACCCCCGGGGCGCGAAGGCCGTAGGCCAGCCGATCGCGATCTTGCAGCCAGCCACCAGCTCCCCGCAAGCAGTCCTCCGGGCAAGTCGGCGCGAGGCAGACTGCCAAGCAGAAGCACATGAAGCGCAGGCTCTTGTCGAACAGGACCTCCAGTCCCTGCGACCTCATCTTCTCCGCCACTTCGAGCGGCGAGATGCCCCGTACCACGACGTGCTCGGCGACCTTCATCGGCAGGAGGAGCCTGTAGCAGTAGTCCAGGATGTCCCCCCACGGCGGCCAGCACCTTGCAGCCTTCGGCGATCTCCTTGCTCGCGTCGATGAAGCCGAGCGCGGTCCTGGCGCCCAACGAGCATCAGGGCAGTTGCCTCCACTTCCGATTCTCGAGCCTCTCGTCAAAGACTAAGCGAGAACTCCGCCTCGCTTGGGCCACCTCCTCCACATCCACTTCTTGACACCGTGAGGAGTGCCACCTCTCGCTTGCATCGATCCGACCATCATGCCGCCAGCAGCCAGACGGGCAACCAGCCTCACCATGTTCTTCTTGACTCGCAGACACGGTGTCGGTGTAGGGCTTAATGCCAGCATCCGTTTCCGCATCTCCTCCTGAAGCATCGTCTTCTTGCACGGTACGGACGGGGCTTTCGTTAAGGAGTGTGGCCCGGAGGCTGCAAACCCTGGAGGATTCTTTATCTGATGAGGGCGGCGGTGATACCCATCCATGGCCGATCCACGATTAGAATTCCACTGGCTTCCAGACTGTGTATTCCTTATCTAAGGGTTCCTTGTCCAACGCCCCCACCGTATTCCTCCAGCAGCGCCGAGGCCCTCGGCGAGACCTCGATCTTCAGGCCTCGCGTCCACAGCGGCGGCAGTAACATTTCGTCCACCACCGCAGCGCACATGCCCCCCTCCTGACCAGCACCGCGGGGGTGGCGGGGGTGGTTAGGGCCGCTTCCACTGGCGGCGCCTCCCGTGAGCCGCTCGAAAGCGACTCGTCCCACCAGTGGGTCGGTAGTAGGCGGTCGTTGGCGCACGGCCTTCAAATGATTATTTGGCCAGCCCAGCAGCCAGCGACGCGTCGTTGAGACGGTGGGACGATAGCCCCTGCGGGACTGAGCGGCGAACCTTCAAGACCTCGTTCGAGATGATCCCCGACGCCAGGCAGCGCAGCGCCACCAGGCAGTGGTTGATCCGATCGATTTCTGGAAGGCGTGCTCGGTCTTGGCTCCGATTCCGAATCTCCGAGTCGGTCGCTGGGTACTCGATCGGCTTGAAGGCCCTCATAGGGTCGCCGACCTCCAGCTGCTCGCTCTCTGGGGTGGTCATTGTGAGCTTCAGGATCCAGGCGCTTCACATTGGAAGCTGGCTCCAGCGGCCACCCACGAGGCACGCCGCCAGGCTTCACAAAAGTTCGGCCGCCCACGACTTGCATTGAGCCCGCCGACGACCGCGAGGACAGGCCCTACTCGAGGCCGAGCCCGCCTGCCAGCGCCCAGGAGGGCGCGCCTCCTAGGTGTTGATCTGGTCGACCGAAGGCGACCGCTCTCCGACCTTCCGCGCCCCTGGCCATACCCACCTTCAGCTCCTAGCGGACCTCGCGCATGTACTCCCCACGGGAGGCGTTGGATACGCTCGAGGGGTCGATCCGGCGGGTCATGTTCCAATCCGCTTTGGACGTCCACTCCTTGCCCGACGGCCTCTTCAAGTCGTTCTCGCTGCGGGCCAGCTCGAAGCCCGCCTCGAGGACGCACATCTTCCTCGCCAGGTACTCCCAGATTCACGAGGTCGGGGGCTCGGTCCTCCAGAAGGAGGCGGTCGACGCAGGCGAGGGCGTCGACCATGCCTTTGGCCGCGCCGCAGTACTTCAGCTGCCAGTCGCGCATGTACTTCTCAGCGTACTCCTTGCCCGACCTCGGCGCGCTGTACACTCTCGTCAAGCATTCGGGCGCCAGGCGCGACCCTCTGGCTGCACCCCTCGGGCATGTGCCACAGCCCTGGCTCGATGTCGCGATACTCCTTGAGAGCCGCCGTCCACGTCTGCTGCGGGCTGATGTTGAGGCGCTCCAGACGCGCGCGCCCCGGCGAGGGCGCGGGAGTCGCGCTCGAGGCAGCCCCCCCCCCACGCTGCAGGCAGCGAAGCCGCGGCCCAAGGCGGCGCAGTTGCACGCGAGATGGTCGGAATTGGGCGGCGCAGGCTTCCAGCTCGCTGTCGGAGGCGTTGCTGGCGAGGCCGCGTCGGGCATGGCCAGCTCGTGGCCCGACGAAGCCGGGGTCAGGACGTCCCAGGACGTGCCCCAAGTCGCCAGCGACGTATCCTGAGGGATATTGATCTTGCCGTCCTTCACCAGCTGCTCGAAGCAGTCGATCTTGCGCCATGATGTCCTCGACCGACTTCGGCTCCGCTCCGGACACCACCTGAGACACGGCCGACCCCTGGACCGAGCGCAGCAGCCGATCATGGCGAGCCCGCGCCTCGACTGCGTCCACTGACTCCTGGAGCTTCGACTGGCCCTCGGTCAGCATCTCCGATGCGGCCATCTCCGTCTTCCAGTGTTCGGCATCGCACGCGTGACGCGGCCGCTGGTGGTCGGGCAGGGCGGCTCCGACTCCTTGTCCGAGTAGGTTTCCTCGATCATGCTCTCCTTCTGCCCCTCCCAGAAGCAGGCGATCAGGGCGGATATCGTCATGCGGGAAGTAGTATTCTTGAGTTGCGTCGCGTAGCTGCGTGAACATGTCCATGGCCGAGCTGATCACCCAGGCCGTGGTACTTCCAGCTTGCAACAACGCTCGGTACCAGGCGATCAGCCTGGATCGCTCTGCCACGTAGTAGATGAAGTAGACTGTGCTGACAGTGCCCGCCGTACGTCAGATCCCAGCGACCAGTGCCCCGCCCCAGAGCGAAGATGCCCGCGGGGAGCAGCGAGACGCTCTGCACGACCCTCTGGAGATGAGCGGCCACTCCTTGCTGCTTCCAGTACCTGTCCAGCTCCACGGGGAGCTCCGTTGCATCCTCGATCGTCTTGGACTCGTCCTCTGCCGCGCGCTTCTGCGTGGAAGTGAGCGCTGGCACGAATCGTGGTGACCTTTCCGCCTGGCAGGAGGCAGGTCCACATGCTTGTTTTGCCAGGCACCCGATGCTAAAGGCGGACCTCTCGTCCACGAGCCTCGCTGTGCTGGTGGTACCGCTTGTCCCATGCTTTCGGGGTCATGGGCATCGGTCGATGCTCGTCGTAGGTGGCTCGCTGTGCCGGAGGTTCCCGTGGCCCGCAGGTCGGCCAGCCTGTCGTGAAGACGGCCGCGAGCGAAAGGGTGGGGAGAGCAAAGGCGCGCGTCGTCCTAAGCCTCTCGGCTCGAGCAGGCTCGAGCCAAAAAGACGCTGAGCGACCTCAGTCCCTTCCTGCGCCTCTCATTCAGGAGGTCCGTGCGGATTTCTTGGTTCGATTTTGGACCCTCCCTGGCGGCGCCTCTACCGCCCGCCCGGAGGAGCGGGTCCGGCGCTGCCCCGAGAAACCCGCGCGGACCTCTGGGAGTTGAAACTCACGTTTTTGCTTGGTCTTCTGGTGAGATCGGCATGCAAAAGTCGAATCCTCGAGGAAGGAAACAGTTGCTAGAAGGTTTTCGCAATGCTCCAGCTCCTTGGGCCCCTCCTCGGCCCTGGGGCTTCCAACAAAAAGACTCGGTATGAAGAGCCGATTCTGGGGAAGGCCTGGGGACCAGGACTCGTTTCCTCCAGGACTCGCTTCCATCGTGCCAAGAGAGGAGCGTGGATTGGGCGCGGAAGGCGGGGAACTTTGGAATAGTCGCGATTTGGTGGACGGGAGCGGGGCATTGGCGGCGCGTGGTGTGCCGAGAGTTCTCATGACATGAGCTCTCATGACATGTGTTTGGAGCTGTGGGACAGGAGGCTCAGAACACAACGGCATGCATTTGTTCTTGCCCAGACTTTCTTGTTTCACGCCATGTGTTAAGCATTCCTCTTGCGCCCACGGTGGGGACCCGCACGTAATGGAGTGCGAAGTCAGCTATACCCGAAAAGGGAGGCAGGGTGACGGCGGGTTGCAGTTTGAACAGGGGGAATGTAGTGGGAAGGAAAGGGACGGAGGGAGGACGTGGAGCCAGAGGAGGATGCGAGGGAGGGACAGCAGCAGCATGAGGAGGAGGAGGAGGAGGAGGAGGAGGAGGAGGAGAGAGGATGAGGGATTAGGACAAGGATTTAATAGTATGATGATGTTGCTGCTGCTGCTGATGATGATTATGCTGTTGATGCTGATGCTGATACAGATGTCGATGATGCTGATGCTGATGATGCCGATGATGCTGGTGATGATGACGCCGATGCTGCTGATGATGACGATGACGATGGTGATGCTGATCATGGTGATGATGCTGATGAGGGTGATGCTGAGGCTGATGATGACGATGGCGATGGTGCTGATGCTGGTGCTGATGATATTGTTGATGCTGATGGTGACGACGATTCTGCTGATGTGGATGATTCTGCTGATGATGATGACGATGATACTGATACTGATACTGATGATGATGATGCTGATGCTACTGTCGATGATGATGATGCTGATGCTGCTGCTGCTGCTGATGAAGATGATGATGATGATGCTGCTGCTGCTGCTGATGATGATGATGATGATGATGATGATGATGATGATGATGATGATGATGATGATGATGATGATGATGATGAGGTGGAGGGGGATCAGCAAGATGAGCAGTGGTTGAGTGACGGAAGAAGGGAGGAGAAGAGGGATGAGGAGACGGAGGAGGAGGAAGAGGAGGAGGAAGAGGAGGAGGAGGAGGGATTGAGGGATGAAGGAGGGGGACGAGTTGGAGGAAACATGAAGCACAGTTGGAGTATGGTGATGATGTAGAGGAGGGGGAAGAGGAGGGGCAGGGATTTGATTAGGAAGAGGATGGGATCTAGGAGGAGGAGAAACATGTCTCTTATTCGTCATCGCGCGAGTACGGCCTTTCCGCTGCCGTCATCTCCATAGAGCGCGCGCGCTTGCCCCGAAGTCGTTACGATGTGGATGCGGTTGCTGCCCTCCTACTGGGGACCTTCCATGCGAGGCGTTCCCGGGAGAGTCGCAGCAAAAGAAGGAGGAGCGTTACGAGGTCGGTGCCCGTCCTTGGAAGATCTTTTAGGCTCCCGCTAATCTTGCACGCCCCCTCCCCCCCCAGCCAAGGACAACATCGCGAAGATATTTGCGATGGCCTTGTCGCTGACCTCGATCGCAGCCCTCTCCGCTCTCTTGTCCGACTTCCAGGCCAGGATTTCCTCTTTCGTCGTCCATCTCTTTCTGCGTGTCCACGTGCTTGGATTCCGTTCTTCTGTCCTGCGGCCATGCCTCAGCCGACAAGGCTAAGTTCGGCACCGGTTGGATCGGCTTGGCGCCAGCTCGGAGAAATCTTAGGCCGCGGCGCCAGGCACCAGGATCATTCAAGACACTTCGCTGTCATCGCCCGCCAACAGTTTTCTCGTAGTGGCCGAGGACAGGAGGGTCCAGACGACCCGAAGGCGGGCTCAAGACGGGCCGAAGATGGCTTAAGCACAGCTCTGCGACTGCGGGAGGCCGCGAAAGCAGCCCAAGAGGGTTTGGGGAAAACCCGTATACATCCCATGAGAGCACCAGGACCGAAGAGTTAATGCACGAGGACGTCGAACATATTGCGAAGGCCTTAAGGCCGGTGCCGCCGACCTCGAAGGCGGCGACGACGAGGACGACGAGGATGTTGAGCAGCAGGACGAGGAGGAGTATTCGGAGCAGGAGGAGTAGAAGGGGTAGGAGCGGGTTGAGGAGGAGGAGGAGGAGGAGGAGGAGGAGGAGGAGGAGGAGGGGGGGGGAAAGGGTGAGGAGCAAAGATCGCATCTTTGGGCGCTCTTGGAGCGTTGTTGGAGCTTTCTTGGGCGCTCTTGGGCTCGAGCTCGAATAAGGAGGGCCGAGGAGAAAGGACGAACGGCGAAGAGGGGTCCCCCCGGGTCTCCCCCGGGAGCCCCCCCCCTCTGGCGGGGAAGGGAAGACGTTTCCCCTCGAATGAGTTACACTCTTCGTTATTGTTGTCTTGGCCAGCACCATTGCAAAGAAAGGCCCAGGGTAGGAGAGGCAACGGCTGACGCGTTGGAGAAGGAGGCCCAGGAGAAAGTTTGGAATGGCGACGGCGACGACGACGAGGAGACGACGATCGGCGGATTTTCGGACCATCGAATTGGTCCGAACAGCAGGGACCAGCGATGTTCAGTTCGCTGTCCGGAGGTCATCCTCGTTCTGATTGCCAGTTCACGAGGATGCCAGCGGAAAAACACCACATGGGGGCCCCTGACAAAAAGCATGTTCAAGTCATCAGATAAAGTACCACGTCCGGGAAGATCGCCATTCCAAGTGGGCGAAGAAGAACCTCGAGTTTTACAGCATGAATCCTTGACGTTTCGCGTATCCCCACCAGTGCGAGGGATCTGCACAGCACCGAATTGATCTTCACGACCCCAACGACCACATTACTTCCACCGAGGGGGCCCGCTTTGCCCTCATTCTCATGCTGCTCATGAAACGCGAGCCACGGTCACACCTCTGGCCCTTCCCTGACCCTTCCGGGTCTGGAGACACCCTCGAGGCCGTCCTGGGAGTCTGCTGCCCCTGGCAAAACGACCATCACCATTTCCGCTCCCAGTTCGTGGCCTCCTGGGGTCTCAGCTCGAGTTTCTGATAGCCCTTGTGCGCGAATTCGTGGTCACCGCCCACCACCACCCCACCGCTAAGCAGGCGCACTGCCGCACGACCTATGCCGAGATGGAAAAGTCCCCTTTCAAGCTGAAGGCCCCGATGCTGGTCTTGGGGAAGATCGTTAGGCCCGCCAATATTGGCATTCTTTCTCGGTCGGAATGCAACATCTGCGTCCTGCACTGGGATCTCACAGGCAGCGACGACGGCCGAGGCCCCGATGTCGGCCCCTCGAAGCTGACGTTTTTCAGCGGGGGATTCTTTTTGGGGCAGATCCCCTTAGACAGGGCGCCGCCGCCCGCTCCACTCCCCAGCGTGGCCAAGACCCACTGCTACCTGGACCCCGGCGACACCCGATTAAGCGCCGACCGAAAGACGGCCAGGTACAAGTGCGACCAGTGCTACAAGGCCAACCTCAGGCACACCGACGGCATTTGACTTAACGACACCATCCGCTCGTACGTGGCTCGGAATCGCTCGCAGGCGCATGCCAATGGATTAGACAGCACATGGTTGTGCGGCCAATGCTGGGCGCAAGAGGCAGACAAGCAGGGCCACCAAGTTTCCCCGGAAGGCCCCCTCCACGAGCAGGTGCAAACCCTTTCGCTTGTCAGGAACCCTCCCCAGGCATCCTTCCGTGGACGCCTTAGCTCTGACCGCTTCCCCCCCCGCCGTGCCCCCTGGCGCCCTCGAGGAATACCTGCTGGAGCCTACAGACCTTCAGGTGCCAAGGAACGCCAACACCGCCCTACCGCCCACCCGGCTAGAGGACGACAGGTTCGGTTATTCAGCAGCTGACTCCGGTCGCCGCGCCGCCGCGTGCGACGGGTGCCCCCCCAGGACCCCTCCTTTCTTCTGGCAGGCTGGAGCGCTGGGCTGTTTTGTATGGGAGGCTGACATGGAGTCGCGGCACGCAGGCGCCGGTGGTCTCCCTGCATGGGGGGACCGGGCCGCTTCTTGGAACAACCGCAACTGGAACGCCGCGTGGATGTGTCGCCGATGCCTCGTCCACGCATGGGACATCAAGCCTAGCGTCGTGAATTGGCTCCTCGACCGCGACACCCACTTGATCCACCCCTGCCCCTCGACTTCGAAGCCGCGCTCCGCCCCCAACGAGCTGGCACCCAGCCGCGCCTCTGCCACGAAACCCGCCCCGTTCGGCAAGAACGGTGGTGCCCTCAGCCTGCTCCCCGCAGACCAGCGCGGGAGACCCCCCACGATGCGCGGGGCCGTGGAGACACGCCCCCCCCCCCCCCACACACCACCACGTCAACCCCCCCAGGGGCCCCGCGCTGGCAACTGTCATCGACGACCTGTAGGCCGCCGCGGAGGTCGAGCGGGGCCGCCCGAACGCCAAGCCCATCGAGGTCAGGCCGATTGACTTCCTGCGCGACCTGGGCCCAATTATGGATGACCTGGGGGGGGGGGGGGGGGGGAACGTCGCAGAGCTGGTCAGAGACGTCAAGGGCTCCGAGGCCCCTGACAGCTGGGACCTGCTCTTACTACGCCCCTCTGTGAAGAGGGTCTATGGCGACAGAGCTGCGCCTCATCACCTCCCCAGTGAGTTCCACTGGCAAGGTGAGCGACTCGCCGCCGCCCGCGTGGTCGGCCACCGCTGCGATCGCTCGCCCGATAGCACAATGCGACCTACATGACTCCATCATGCCAGCCAATTGTCCGCGCGCGGCCCTTCCCCGCGCCGCCGCGCGCTGATTTGTCTCGTGGGGTTCCTGACACAGCATGCCTCCGATAAGCTCGCCTCTGGGTCCTTGCGCGCACTGGCCAGGGGCGTTCCCTTCGAGGACGCGCAGGAGCTACTCGGGCAGCTCGACAACACCTCCACCAAGGAGCACGGCGACAGCGATTGGTGGAAGAAGTTCAGCGACGAACTGAGGTTCCACACCTTTGCCGCCCACGCGTTCGATCAACCTGGCTGGGGCAACGTCGCGCCCTCCCCCTCGACGCCTGCGCGGAGTGGAACCAGCCCTCCCTTCCCCAGTTCCCGCTCCCCAGCAGACTGCCACTCGCGGCGGGCGAGCCCAGCCGCCGACGACCCCGGCGCTGGCGCAACGACCCCGGCCGGGCACGCCCCCCCCGCGCGAGGCTGGCGCAACGGGCCCCCCCTCGCCGGCAGGGGCAACGACACTGCTGCCCACGGAGACGCCGCTTCCGACACCTCGTTGGCCGGCTCTCACGACGACAGACCCGTGCCCCCCCGTGGCCGAAGAGGGGCCCCCGTCGTCCTGTCCCCGACCCCCGGCTCGGACCCACCGGCTCTGCAGGTCGACTCATCCGGCAGTCCCGAGGCGACGGTCAGGCCCCTGCAGCCCCGCGCCCCCTGCTAATGACCCGAGCGCCTCCCCAGCGCTGACGCGGCAAGATGGCGGAAAGCTCACTCGCCCCCCTGAGCGCAGGGCCCCTCCATAGCAAGCATCCCACGGCAGCTCCAGGCGGGCAGCGCGGCGCGGGGTGAGCACGACTGGGGGCGAGGGCTGGGGTGAGCGCCGCCCGCGTCGGCGTCGCAAGGCCAGCCGCTGCGGCCCGCGCAGCGGCAACTGGCCAGGATGGTCAGGCTGGGGCAGCTGGGCGGCCGGCGACCGCTGGAGTCGGACAGCGCGCGCCCACGCACCCCATGTCCCTGATGGCCCCCCAACACCACACCTCGGTCCGGCCCGCGGCCCCCCTACGAGCGCGCGCAAGCTGACCACTCGCAGAACCTGACTGACCCAGCCACTGGTCTTTACATCTTATAACTCCTCTGTATCGGATCGACGTCACCACCCCCCCTGGCGAGGCCCCGGCCGAGACCGTGAAACGACTCCAGAGGGGCTTTGGGGAGTACTTCAACGGGATGCGGCACCAGTGGACTACCAAGCACCCCGCCAAGTCCGGCCACGTTTGTGCCGACCCCACTAGTTGCATGGGGCCCGAATCATGCTTGCGTTTCAGCAAAGAGTGGATCCGCCACGACTGCCATGCCATGAAGATGGGCGATTCGCTTCGCCCGAGCGTCGACGCGGCCTGCGGCCCGCAGTCGGTTCACTGACAGGGGATCAAGGGCAAGGGCACCCCAGGCAAAGCCAAAGGCAATGGATTCCAAGAGGGCAATGACATCAGCTGGACGAGGGCGGGGGAACCCTGGCGGCCCGCGAGCTCGCGCCCGCCCTGGGTGCACTCCGAATGTTTTGCCCTGGCCCACGGGCGCAGGCGCGCCATGTTCACGAGGGAAAGAAGCACGCAGACACGATCAATCGGCGATTCCCCAGAAAAGACGGGAAAATCTGGGAAGTGGAGGGGAATACAAAAACCCAAGAAATATAAGACAATATTGGGATATTTTTATGTGCGTGCATTTATTTGCGTGTCCCAGGGACGTCTGCGCCCCAGGCCAGTGACGCCCCGCGCTGCGCATCAGTGTCTCCCATGGTAGCGCCGGCCCCCGTCGCGCAGGCGTCCCTGGTTGGTTTCTCCAGCGCGCCACTTCTGCCGCGCGCCTATAATGCCGTCTGGGGCGCACCCAGCGGGGGGGCCGTTGGCTCGCCCCGGCATTCAAGAGTTCCTTCTGGGCCCTCACTTTGCGGCTTCTCCCCCCCTGGATGACTGCCGCCCCCCAGGCGAACCCGGGGGCTGGCCCTCTCCCCAGCGGGCCCCCAGTATTGCCGGGGCTTCCGCGGCGCAATTTTTCAGCCTAGCGCTGCCCTGCGCAGCGTCTCCCTGGGCGGCGCTCGGCACTCGACGCCCCCCCAGCAACAGGGGGCCGCTCGCCGCTCCGCAAACCACTTGCCCTGGCGACTGACACCCGCCGCGGCGCCATGCCAGTCGCGGGCCCCCCGCCCCCGCCGCCCTTACGGAGCCGCCGCGCTCTCCTCTTAGGCCGCCACGCCTGGGCCCCGGCCCCGCCCCCCGCCCGCCCCCTGGCCCCCGCCCCCCCGCGGCGTTTCACCTTGGCCGCGGCTGTCAGCTTATCCCCCATATGCGCTCGTCCGCCCCCTTGCCCGCGCCCCCGCGCCGCGCCCCCCGCGCGCCCCCTGCCCCCGCCCCCGCGCCCTTTTGTCTCCATTGCTGGTTGCGGCTTCCGCCGCCGCCTCTCGCCCGCCCCCCGCCCCCCCCGCCCCCTGGCCCCCGTCCCCCGCCGTCTCTTCACCGCTACTGCGGCTGTCAGCTGCGTTCTCACCCGCCCCCCTTTCTCCGCCCCCCTTTCTCCGCCCCCCGCGCCCCCCGCGATTGCTTCGCAGTTTCTGCGGCTGTTCGCTGCGCCCTCGCACCCGCCCCCCGTCCGCCCCCATGCCCCTGCCCCCCTGCCGGGGGGGGGGGGGGGGGGGGGGCACCCGCTGCGTTGCCTGGCCCCCCGCCCCCCGACGCTCCCTGCCTCGGCTGGCACCCTCCCCGGTTCGCGGCGCCCCCCCCGGGGCGCCGGGGCGCCGGGCCGGCGCCGGCGGCGCTTGGTCGCGCCGGTTGCCAGGCTGGCCCAGCCTCCTCGCGCCGGCACCACGGTCTTTTGGGCCCGGTTCCACCCGAGCACTGTTGACCTGCACCTGTACGGGCCACGACGCTCGCCGAGGGCAACTCTACCCTCGAACGCGCACTGGCATGTAGACGCCCTCCGGCACGGGTTTAGCGACCGCCGACGGCTGGCTTCCACCCCGCATGCGAGCGACGGCAGGCAGCGACGCGCACTGACGTTCACGACGTGTGTCAGCTGGCGGCGACCTTCGTTTAGCCGTTTAGCCTTCCGCTTGCTTCTTCGTTACGCGCATGGCGAGCACCTGCGCGACGTCTGTCTTGGCTCTTCATCCTGGGTCTGACGCCCCAATTCACCCACCATTTTGGTGTGCATCGAGGCCGTCTTCTTGGTCCTCCTCGGCCTGGCGGACTTCCTAGGCTTCTCCGGCTCCGCCGCCTGAGCGGTTGCGTAGCGCGCCCCGGTCGCTGCGGCTCCTTTTGACGGCGCGCAGTTGCTCTGTGTCGCTCGCGAACAAAGTACCCCCACCACTGGCAGTCCTCACCCTCGGCGCAGCCCAGCCCCAGCGCGGCCGCTTCCCCCGGCGGTAGGTATTGCCCTGCTCGGCGCGCGCGCCGGCAATTTGGTTGCTCGTAGCCTGGGCCACCTGACGCTTAGGGCGCCTTCCACCGACCCATCCACAAACGATGCGCAGGCGACGTGCCTCTATCCGGGAAGCGTAGGAACATGCTGTTCATCAATAGCTGGGGAAGACGTCGAACTGAAGTCTTGGTTCGGGACTGGCGGGGAAGAAGGACGAAGGGGATGAGGGAGAGGAAGAGGACGAGGAGGAGCAGGACGAGAAGGAAAAGGAGGAGGAGGAGGAGAAAGTTGGAAGAGGAAAAGGAGGAGGAGGAGGAGGAGGAGGAGGAGGAGGAGGAGGAGGAGGAGGAGGAGGAGGGGGAGGGGGAGGAGGAGGAGGATCAGGATCAGGAGGGGGAGGATGAGGAGGAGGAGGAGGAGGAGGAGGATGATGATGATGAGGAGGAGGAGGAGGAGGAGTAGGAAGAGGAGGGGGAGGAGGTGGGGGAGGCGGGAGGAGGGAGGGGACAACATAGGCGGATGAAGAGGAGGAGGAACGGGAGGAAAAGGAAGAGGCGGAGGAGAAGGAGGAGAAGAAGAGGAAGAGGATGAGGAGGAGGAGCGGGAGGAAGAGGAACGCTCTTGAGGCCGTCTTGGAAGAGATCGATCAAAGAAGGGCGGACCTTCACTTCCCCCTCCCTCGGGAGCCCCACAAGTTGTCTCGTGGCTCCCTCTTGTAGCGCTCTTGGGGCCGTTTTTGGGCGCTCTTGGGCCGCTCTTGGGACCCTCTCGGGCCAACTTGGAGCCACCTCGAGGCCTCTGAACACAATCGGGAGCTAAAAGGCGAGAGCGCTAGATTCATTGATTTCCCGTCGGTGTTCGACTGATTTTGGCCACTTGGAGGCCTCCGGGGGAGGCTCCGTGGCCACTCGGAGCGGTCTTGGAGCTTTTTGGAGCATTTTGGGAGCCATATTGAGCCATCTTGGGCTATCTTGGGCCGTCTTGGAAGTAATTTTGGGCACATGCGTGCGCCTCCCCCACCCAGCACAGCGCTGCGTGGCCGCAAAGGGGAGCTCCACCTAAACGCCCAGCGACGGTGTCCACATGCGCCCACACACACACACACACTCACACACACACCAACACACCAACACACAACACACAACACACAACACACAACACACAACACACAACACACAACACACACCACACACACAATACACACAATACACACACAATACACACAGTACACACACGGAGCACAGCGCTTCATGGCCCAAAAGGGAACTCCACCTGAGGCCCCAGCGGCAGTTTGCAGATGCGTCTCCCCCAACCAGCACACGCTTCGTGGCCCCATGGGGAGCTCCACCGAAGGCCCCAGTGGTGGTGTCCACATGCGTCTCCCCCACCCAGCACGGCGCTTCGTCGCCCCATGGGGGGCTCCACCTAATGCGTGTCCCCCCACCTAACACAGCGCTTCGTGGCTTCATAGGGAGCTCCACATTAGGCCCCAGTGGCGGAGTGCACATGCGTCTCTCTCACCCAGCACAGCGCTTCGTGGCCCCATGGGGAGCTCCACCTAAGGTCCCAGTGGCGGTGTCCACATGCTTCCCCCCACCCAGCACAGCGTTGAGTGGCCCCATATGGAGCTCCACCGAAGGTCCCAGTGGCGGTGTCCACATGCGTCTGCCCCCCACTCGGTATCGAAAGCTGCAGTGGTGGAGTTCGCATGCGCCTCCCCCACCCAGTGCAGAGTTGCGTGGCCCCTCCACTGACGACGATACCCACAGCTCCGGGACTCACAACCTCACATGGTTGGGTCGTTTGCCAGGCTCCGATTTGTGTTTGGAAACGGGATTTGGTTTGAACCCTATTTTGACTCGTTTGGACTTTCTTTGAACTTGCATGAACTTGATTTGAACCCTAGAACTTGAAATTTCAAGACAGGACTATCAGTTTCAACCCTTTGCCACAAGATCCCTTCTATAACTCCAGAGGTCTACAAGGGGGTCAGAACGCACGTCGATCCGCATTTCAAGAACGTTTGAGATGTCTGTTCATCATCACGACCAAAATCACCCATTCATTGAATCCCGCGTGCATGGAACAACATCGAAGGAGGCGACGTCGCGATGATTTGCAAGCACGGCGTTTCCGAAGTATTTTGAACATCCAGCACGTACAACATTGCATTTGAAAAGCAGGCGCGCGACCTTTTTGACAGCGGCCGCTGCAGAGATGACGACGTGCTGCGGAAGCGAACGCTTCAACCGGGGAGCGCGAAACCGGTGGCGGATTCTGTCCGATGGGCCACTGGGCGCCCCCGGGCATGAGTGGGCAAAGCGCCTGTAAAATTTGATTTGCAGTAGTTTTGGCTCAGGTTCTGCCCTGCTGGATTGCATGGCAGACGAACGAACGAGACGTCAGTTTGCAACCACCGTTGCGCTCGACGGCCGCTCTGCACACTGACCTTCTTGACATGGCACTGCACGGTTTTCATTGCCCAAGCGCCAGATGGCGCACGGCTTCTCGCTCTTTTTCGGCCGAGGACACAAGGGCCCAGGCGGGCTCAAGACAGGCCGAAATTGGTTTTCATAAAGCAATGCGATTGCCGGGGGCCGCAAAGACAACCCACGAGGGTTTGCGGGACCCTAATACACCCCATGAGAGCACCAGGGCCGAATAATTCATTTACAGCGACGCCGGATATATGTTCGGACCATCGCGAAGCAAGTCAACAACGTTGAATACCTCTTGGGTGCCTCTTTGGGGCCTGCCGAGATCGAGTGTGATATTCATCGGGCACCATCGGCCGCCGCAGACCCAGCCCCAACGCCCTGCCCAGCTGAAGGCAGGTTGCACCTACTGCGCTCGATCTGGAGTCCCCATCTTTCTCCCCGTCCCTTTTCCTCGGGCCTCACCGTTCCCATCCCGCTCTCCCTTCCCCCCTCTTTCCCCTAGCCGCCCATCTCCACAGCGCGGGACAGTTGAGTGCCCCCCTTTGCAGGTGACATTGACTTTTGTGTGCGGGGCAACGCTCACCATTTTGGCAGTCTACCTCTACAGCGTGGCGCCGAAGCCGCCCGAGAAGGCTCGGTGGATAGGGGGAGGGCGCTTGGAGCATGGCTCGAGGGCCTGTGTTGAATGGCTTCCCGAGTGTCCACGCCGATGCCAGGGCAGGCCTTCACTGAAGTGTCGGAGCACCGCCCGTCAGCATTTAGTTTTGAGGTGTACGCGAGTATGTTGTGGTTGGGCCACGATTTGGCCAAGGCGCAGGTCTGTGTCACCCATTATGCGTCGCTGGCGTGATTTTCGTGAGGCTTGTTGGGTCGCGATTCATTGTGTTCGTGGCGTCCACGGAACCTTGAGAAAGAAGCGCGCGTTTCGTTGCATGTGACCGTTCAGACAGTTTTTGTGCGGAGTGCAACCAAGCATCTCAACAGCTCTTGATTACGGTAACAGTTGTTACGTTAGCGCAGTGCAACCGAGGCTCCCAACAGCTCCTGGTGACGGAGACAGCTTGTACGCTGGTGGAGTGACACCAAGGCTCCCATGAGTTTTCGGTGACAGGGCACGTTTTCATGCGAGTGGCGTGCCGTGAAGTGAAGCGTTATTTCCGCTCTGGTGACAGCCAAGGTTTGACAAGATGTTGGCTTGATGGGCCGGCGAATTCCTCCAATTCTTCGATCCTCAACGTCCTCTCCTCAACACTTGCCCAATCTGAAATGTACTCTCTTCCCCAAGGTGGCCATGGAATGGCCTGCTCCTTTCCGCGTATTGCTTGCAACGCATGATATGATTATCCGAGGTGTTTGATGTACATTCGCGAACAGGTCCTTTTCGGTCTTTCAACATAGCGTTGCGGCTGCAGCGTGGGCCTCATTTTAGGATCGGCGCTTTGCCCCCGTCGTTCAGAAAGACACTCTCGCTCCAGCACTGGCCACTTCTCTGGATCCGCGTCCTTCCTCATCGTTGTCGCCCCCCTCCTTTCCCCTTCTCCGCCTTCCCCTGGTCCTGCTCCTCCCGCTCCTTCCACTCCAGCTCCTGCTGCTGGCAGCAGGGCGAACAGCAGCAGCAGCAGCAGCAGCAGCAGCAGCCTGCTGCTGCTGTTCGTCCTCGTCCTTCTCCTACCTCATCCTCCGTCCTCATCCTCCGTCCTCCGTCCTCATCCTCCTGCTCATCCTCCTGCTCATCCGCCTCCAATGTACGCAGCTCCATGTCTCCGATTGCGCATGACACCATGGAGTCTTTTGGGGAATTCAAGGTCCGCTATGACCCGCGTCTGCGGATAAACATATGTCAGCGCAATAGGAAGTGATTGGTGGGACGGGTCGGATGGCAGATATAGCGCGAGCTCACCGAGCTTGTCCTCCCGCCTACCCCGCCTTCCCCCTTCCGAGGCATCTCCCGAGGCCTCCCCCGACAAGCTCGGCGCCGTTGGCACGACCGCGGCCAGACGGCGCGCGCGCCCGCCCAGTGCGCAGGGAGATGCAGAGGGAAGTGGGGCGGGGCACGCTGGGGTTGGACTGAGCAGGGGCCGAGGCACGTTAGGGGGGAGATGGGGGAGCAGGGCGCTAAGGGGAGGGGGAGAACGGTGTGGAGGAGGAGGAGGAGGAGGAGGAGCAGGAGGAGCAGGATGACGAGGACGAGGAGGGGGAAAAGGAGGAGAAGGAAGAGCAGGGGGATCAGGGGAGCGGGAGGGCAACGAGGAGGAGGAGGAGGAGGAGGAGGAGGAGGAGGAAGATGATGCGAATGACAGAGGAGGAGGAGGAGGAGGGACGGCTACAAGAAGGGGAGTAGGCAAATTCTGCGGGAATTCTCCTGTGCACGGTGGCGGCAGTCGGGGCGCCGCCCGAGACGCGTCCACGCATCGAGCCATGTCCCCATCGAGGCCCGCGCCTTCAGGGCCAGCGCAAGCGACGAGGTGGCAAATATTCGTCCTTCTTGTTGCGAAGAGCAAAGATATCAACAGCTGTATAAACACTCGCTCTCGAAAGTTCGCGTGGGCTTCTTGGGTTGGCGATGGACCCCCTTGACGCGCGCCCGTGGTGGTGCCGGAAGCGCCGCCAAGGGTGTCCAATGCCGACCCGAGAAACCCGCACGGATTTCAAACATTTTATCCGTGAGCGCTTCGCCCCCTGCCGCCGGCCCCCTCTCTCGGATAATGGGCAATGCAAGGGCGAAGTCAGGAGGCCTTGGCGCCGCGGTGAAGCAGCGTCGGGACTTCACGCGAAGACGATGAGTAATCGGCACGTCAAATTGAAATTCTGATGTTATTGTTGAATTCGGTGTTGGTTTTCGAGGGTATGTGGCTTCGGATACGCGAAAAGCGTATAATTTACAAGGGTGTATGGCTTCGGGCTCGCAAATATAGCGCAATCTCCTGAGGTTTATGGCTTCGGAGACCCGCATACTGCGTAGTTTACGAGGTGTTAGGCTTCGGAGCGTAATTTACAAGAGTTTGATGGCTTCGAGGTCACAAGCATTGCATCATTTACGCAGGTGTATGGCTTCGGGGACGCGAGCATATGGCTTCGGGGACGCGAGCATATGGCGTGATTTGCGAGCGTTTGTGGCCTCGGAGACGCAAGCATTGCGAAATTTACAAAGGTTTATGGTTTCGGGGACACGAACATGGCGTATTTTGCAAGGGTTGATAGCTTCGGGGACGCGAATATTGTGTAGTTACCGAGGGTCTATGGCCTCGGGGACGCGAATCTGGTGCAATTTAAAAAGGTTTATGGCCTCGGGGGCGCGAATTTCATTTATTTTTATGTGTCCCACGCCCCCCTTAGGAATTCAGACAACGCGACTCGGGCGTGGTGACTAGGTTCCTTCTCGACTCCCCCCCCTCGCGCGGTCCATCAACAAGGAACAGTAAGCAGCAAGAAGCAGAACTGTAACAGTGGAAACTGGAAACTGGAACTGGTGCAGGGAATAGCAGACCTTGGTCCTACAGCCTGGTGGCCCCACAAGGGGGCCGGCGGATTTACGCCGCGTGTTTTGCTTAGGCTCCGTTTCAAACGGGCAGAAGGAGAATCGGATTCGTGCTGTTCAGGGGGTCGCATCGATGCCAACGGCTTCACAATTGGTGAGCTGTCGGTTGAATGCTCCTTGGGCCAGTCTGCGGTCCAGCATGGTTCGTTGACTCTCTTGAGCCGTAGTCTCAGGCTGCCAGTTTGTTGTCCAATTGATGCAGACGTGGTCTACTGCAGCTCTGACCTGGGTGAACCAGTGCCTGTCAGTGGGTAGTTGTCATGTCTGGTTGACGGATTTGATTTTCATATTATGGTATATGTCTCTGAAGATCAGCTTCGGGCCAGCCGTCCTGGGAATGACTACTAGGCATGCGCACGCAACAAGAAGCACTGCTGAGCTTTTGGAGGCGTGGAAGGAGTGGGAAGTGGAGAGCAGAACGTGGAGGGAGGCGCTTGCGCTGAGGAGTGAGGAGCGAGGAGGGAGTAGAACGAGAGCAGGGAGGTACGAAGGTGCACTACTGACAGAGAAAGTAACCACACCATAGCGTCAGCTGCTGACTGTGTCTCCCTGAGAACGGCGAGCGGCCCGCGCAGCCCGCAGAGGTGGAGCTCGAAGAACGGGGCTTTGACTGCTGCAATGGAGGAGGTGTGAGCCTCCTCTTCCTAGGACTCCTACTCCTCTTAGCCTCTGCGGCATGGTGAGGCTGGTTCTTAGGAATGCTCGGAATTCGAACCATTAGATTGGCGGATTCGCCCGTCATTCCGCACGCTATGATGTTATCTTGATATTTAGATCGCACAACACATCAGAGGCACGTTGCATAGAACGCATCGCACTGGTACGAGCGGACACGTGTCGTCGTAAGAGAGGTTAATGTGCACACGCATGCCGATTATGGTTGTTTCGCTATGCGGCGCAGTGCAGCAGTTCCTGATGCGTGCATGCAGATACTTGCATGGACTCGTGTGTGTGTGTGTGCGTCTGGTGTGATATGCACTAGTTAGTTGTTGCTGCGCATGGACCTTGTACACCGTAGTGAATTGGGCGACGCCGTGATGCACCATACATGGCATGTGCACACTCAGATGCGCTGCCAGTGGCCACCTATACAGCACCATCTCGTATAGTATTGCATTTTCTGTTTGAAAGGATAGCGCACATTGCGCAACACAGTTTTGTTTCATATTGATTGCATGGCTTGCCCAGAGAGGCTTTCGCGTCAGCGTCGCCTCACCGTGCACATGCATGCATCTGATTAACTATAAGTATGACGCCCCGGCTGTTGCTATCCGACGTCTTGTATCCCACGTCGCCGCTGATGGAACACGTTCACGATTGCATGTCTCGGGGACAGTTCACGTAATGTGACCAAATCTTTGCAATCACACGCAATTCAGACTTGCCTATAGAGATGTGTATGTGTGTGTGTGTGCCAGCGGGCGTCTTGGGACTGACACATGCGTGTAATTGTGCAGACATGCTCGTGCGCATGCGTGTGCTTTCGCCTTTTTTCAGACCAGATGGTTCCGCAGCAATGCTATGCTTCAAGGGGCCAATCCCATGTACTGGACGCGGCGAGCGCAGTTCGTAAGATCAAGCGCGCACTATATCGAGTGGCACGGGAGACGGCATCGGAGAGTGCCCATTGACATGGAGGGATCCGCTAGTTCAACTCCCGCTGGGAGAGCATGGGTGTCTGCGTTTCGGTCGGTTCGGCTGCGTCGCAATTTGCTGCGTTCGATCGTGTCGGTTCGTTTGGTTGTTGCGCCGCTGTGTCTGTCTACGTTGCATTCGGTCCGTCGGAGTCGATCGGTTTTGTTTTAGCTGTCGGTTTGGTCTGTTTTCGGTGTTGTTTTCGCCGTGGACGCTTACGCCGAGGCAGGGTGGAGACCCTTCCTTCTTTCTCCCTCTTCTCTTTTCCTCGCCGAGGGGGGCGCAGTGGAGCCGCGCATCCTACGACCTTGCAGCGCGCACCGATCGAGACTAGGAGCCAAGCGGGGTTCCCTTTGCAAACGCCGTCGCGCCCGGTTCTAGAGCTCTAGGGGCATCCCGAAACGCAGAAACCCGTCCTTCTTGAGCGCATTGTTTTGACACTGCCTCTCCCAGAGTGAAGTTGAAAAGCTTTCCAGAATTAGGGGAGCTGCCAAAACCGCTGCAGCTCCTCCCCTTCCCCCTCCAGTCGCGTTTCTGCCACATCTTCTGCTTTAGTAAGGCCATGGAGAATTCAAACCAACATTGGATGTATGTACGCATTGGCAGGAGGGAAGTTTTGGATTGGTTTGTGTGACTTAGCTATGGCAGACGGCCGCTCAGGCAGGTACAGCCGACATAAGGGTTAAGAGCAACCCCGGTTTTGTGTAGTTCATGTTCATTCTCTCCTTCTTGGAATTCTCGTCCTTTCGGGTATCTCCATGGCGTCTTGAGCCCTCGGCCAAGGGGCTCATGTTATCGGGCCCCGCGCCATTACGTATGGCCATGTTTCGGTAGTGGATCATCACGTGTCTGCGTCGTCGGAGTGGTGTGCCTCCCAGGCGGGCCGGCGGGCGCGCCGCCGGGTGCTCCTATTCGTGGCGTGGTGCGTTGACCCGGCTGAGAGCGGCGGCCACAAAGAGAGATGCGCCGCGCGCAGTTGCCGTCGTCATCGCCATCGCTGTCACTTTCGGTTTTGTCCCTGAGCGTACACAGATCACAGCTCGTGTCTCAGGCTGAAATCTGCTACAGGCACCAAACGCGCGGGCAGTGCTGCGACGCCTCCAGCCGCGAGCGGGCGTGACGGCCGCGCGCTTGGCCGCGGCAGCCGCCAAGGCGGATGCCGTATGAGCTGCCTCCGCAGAGCCCCATGGCTGTCCCCCCTCCGCTCCCGGCCCGTCCCCGCAACCGCCCCCGCCGACGACCCCACCCGCCACGCCTGACGCCCGGCGGGCCCTGCTATGACGGCCCTCAGACCCCCAGACCCAAGACGACCCCGACGTTTCCCCCCCGCGACGACCCCCGACGACCCCACGGCTGTTGCCGACGCGCCTTGCCCCTTCCTTCCCCCCGCCCGCTTCTGCCTTGGCCTCCCCCCTCTCCTCCTGCGTGTGGGCGTCCGCTCGCCGTGTTTTCGTCTTCCCCTCGTTCCTCCCCGTCTTCTTCTTCCTCCTCCTCCTACTCCTCCTCCGCCGACTCCTCATCCTCCTCTCCCGTCTTGTCCGCCGGGGGGACCTGGCCCGCAGGTGACCGTTACCCCCCCGGGAGGGCACTGCAAACCCGCGCAGCCGGCCGCCAAATTCCCCGGATTGCAGAAGTTGCCCCCGGCAGCCCGTTTCGCTTCTTCCAGCATCCATAATCCCGCATGCGCGCCTGACCCCCTGGGGAATGGCTGGGCGTGTTCAGCAATGTTTGCTTTTATACTTTGTGTGAACTCTTGGACCACTCCTTCCACTTGGCCAGCTGCTTTGCATGGGTTGCGCTTGCTCCGGACCCCCTTTCCTGGCGCGCGGAGCGCGAAAAGGGCGGCGATGAAGGCGCCGAATGCTCTGTGCGTGCTGGCAGGCGGAGGGTCTCGTGCCAGCACGTTGGCATCTGGGCCCATGATCTGGACCGAAGATCCAGACCTCCCCAGGTGAGTCTTCACCCTTTCCCATTGTACCGGCCTTGCGGCCGGTTTCGAAAGCTTGGGCGCAACAGTCGGCATGTAGGCGTGGGCCAGGCGCAGTGGCGGCTTCATTGCCAATTCCAGCTCAATGTTCCCCCCTGAGCCAGTCCCCCCCCTAACGTTGCCCTTTATGTTCGCGTGGGCGGGGCAGCCCCCATTACCCAAATAATGTCAGCTTGTGATTAACAAATGGCCCTCCCCCCTTCCTCGCTGGGGCTGAAAGTTTTGTTTAATCACCCGCGCCAGGGGGTCGTCGCTGGCGCCGCCAAGGGGATCGTGTACCCCCCATGCATAACAGCCTCAAAACGATTGCCTTTTCGTATAAAAATTGTTATGGGGGTCGTACACGTTCGAGGCGAATTTGTTCCCTGTCTTAGGCGTCGTCGCCGTCGTCGTCGTCGTCTTTGTCGTCGTCGTCGTCGTCGTCGTCGTCTGCGTCGTTTTTCTTTGTCGTCGACGACGTCGTCGACGTCGACGTCAACGTCGTCGTCGTCGTCGTCGTCGTCGTCGACTACAGCGGGCATGCGCAGCCTCCCCCCCATAGGGCATCCGTCGTCGCCGCCGTCGCCGTCTGCCGTCCGTTGTCCTCGTCCTCGCCCTCGTCCTCCTCGTCGTCCTTGTCGTCGTTTTCGTGCTGGTCTTCGTCGTCGTCGTTGTCGTCGTCGTCAGAGGGGGGGAGAAGGACTGCCCCGATTGCTCGTGTCGAACGAAAGACTGGGGAAGGAAAAGGGGGGTTGCGAAACATGCTGCGCGCAGCTGGTTGCGGTCGCCCCGCCGAGGGGCCAGTTCTGGATGCATGGCCGCTTTCGGCGCCAGGGGGCGCTCGGATAATCAACAATGTGAGCTGCTGGGCGCATCCCCGCTTGGCCACGCCTTCCTTGCGTCCAGACCGCCTTGCTCGCGGGCCCGCGAGACAGCTGGCGCCCCCGTGGTTGCGGCCAGGGCAACGGAACCGCATCACTTCGACAGAACAGGGTACGGAAAGAGCGCCGAAAACAGTTTTTCTTCATTTCGAACAGGTGTCGCCCTGACCCACGGTTCCTGTTTTTGCCGCTTTTGCCTCTCGCCCCCCTCGCCTCCCCCAGTCTGTGTTGCCTGTCGCCTTCCCGCTGGCGGCTGGGTGTCGGCGCTAGTCACTGGCGCCGCCGCCGCCGTTGATTTTCAATCTGGCGGGCGCCACCCCGTGGTTGTCTCATCCGTACCCCGCGCGCCACTCCCAGGCTTTCACCCAGCGCCTTCCCGTGCCCGCCCCGTTTTTTGATACAAAATATGTATGCCCAATGTATTGCACAAGTGCCGTTGGGCGGTGCTCAAGAAGTTGAACCTGCCGAAGCACGTGCGACGAACAATTCGAGCCCTGTGTCCCGATATGAGAATTAGTATCAGCTCCCATGGGTGTGAGCCTGTGTTTATCCAGGTCACGCGAGGTGTTAAGCAAAGGTGCCCGATTTCTGGACTTATCTTTTGTATATGTATCAACCCTATCATCGCTCGGATTCGTCGCAGGTGCTCGGGGCCGCCAATTTCTTTAGGTGCCTTCGCCGACGACATTGGTGCCGCCTGCGTGGATGTTCTTCACAGCCTACCTATTGTTTTTCGGGTTATACCGTCTACTGTTGTTGCGACGGGGCTCGTGTTGACTTTGGCCAAATGCGTCCTGACGATTCCTGACCAGCGGTTCCGTGATACGGCAATGCCTGTTTATTTGGAAATTCAAGATATCCAGCAATGGGAAACACCTCGGGGTGTTCATGGGTGTTGGTGGGCTGGGGAATCATGGAAGATGGTGATCAACACAGTAGGCCGGCGTAATCTGCAGGTTCAACAGTTCGGTGGGGGGCTCTCGTTCAGTATCACAGCTTACAACATGTATACATTTTTCGCGGTCATCCATGTAGCATTATGGGAACCTCCGAAGTTCGTGCAGATGGCAACAACATGCAATTCAGAGGCTTACGTGCTCGCCGCGATTTTCTTTCCCTCCCGAAGCCCTCAACCAATTCCGCGATATCGG